AAATACCGAATAGTTTCCCTGGTGTAAATAATCTCCAACAATGCGTAAGATTCTAATAAGATTACTGAGATTTAGAAATGGGAAGAAAGGAGCTAAAGGTGTAGGGAAGGTGGGATGGGTAGGGGAAGAGTAAAAAGGGAAAAGAAAAAAATGTGAGAGAATGAAAAGATGAAAATAAAGTGTTTGTAGATGGGGAGGGGAGGAGGGGTGAAGGGAGGGTAGAGGTAAGGGGAAAAAATGAGAATCAAGACTTGTCATGTAGAGGTACAAGATCCCAACAATGAATGTAACTGTACTGTATCCCTAAAATGTACCAATAAACTCAATTAAAGCTGAAAAAAAAAAAAAAGACTGAACTCTCTGAAAGTATGAGCCAAACAAACCATTTCCTCTTCTAAGTTCTGGGTGTACAGGTATTTTGTCTCAGCAACAGGAACACTAATACAAATAAAGGTACCAAACAAGTACAGTCATTGCTGTGACTGTACCTGACCATGTGGCTTAGAAGCCTTGTGGAGCTTTTATTGCAGGAGGAGTGTGGAAATACATGCTAGAAAAGCCCTAAAAGCTTTAAGGTGAGCCTGATTCATGATTCCAGTTGGAGTTCAAAAGTCAAGAATGTTGACAGGAATGTGGACAGTAAAGGTTATATTTGATAAGTATCAGCTGGGAACAAGGACTACACTGGCCATCTGACAGAGACCATGTGTATTATACTCTGGGAAAAAAGTCCATATTTTTTGCCCATGTCCTGAATCTGTGCAAAACTGAGGTTAAGAGCAGTGGCCCAACTGATCTGGCAGAGGAAATTTTAAGGCAACCCAACATTCAGATTGTGACAAGGGAACTGTTGGCAGGTTTTAGCTAGATTTATAGTGAGAATCTGGTGCTCGCTTCAGCAGCACATATACTAAAATATAGTGAGAATCTGAGGTAAAAAGCAAAGCAGGAAAAACTGAACAATTTGGGCCAAACAGGAATCATACCAAGTCAGGGCCAAAGTAGATGCAGCTGCTGAAGAGATTAGCACCATTAAAAGGAAATCAAGTGCTCTGGACAAGAACAAGAAGAAAGATGCCTTGAGGGCATCTCAGAAAATAGCAAGACCCCATGGATTGCAGAATCAAAGGTAACAAAATTTAAACCTTTCACTTAAGGAAAATGTCCTTGGGACTCCTCCAGCTCAAGGGCCTCCTAGGGAATTGGTTCCCCAGGACTCTTTTTTCACTGTTCCCAGCAGTGATCGAGGCACTCAGAGGCTGCTGCAGCCATGGTCCAATGAGGCATGATTACCACTTGAGCTGGCAGGAGACCATGACATCATCCGCATGAAGCTGGTTGTACAGGCATGCAGAATGAAAGAATTGTGGGGTTACAGATCCTTCCACTCAGATTTCAACAGATACCCTTAGAGGCCAGGCAATCTGCTCTTAAGAGGTAGGTACGTGAAACTGTGGAAATTAAGCCAAAAGTATACAAGAGACCCAAGAAAGTTAGAAATGCCAGGAATGTGATACATCTGCTATGGAAAGCCATAGGCAACAAGTGCAGCCAGGCTAATAGAGAGGCCATGCATCTTGCACCAACAAGACCATCAGCTTGGGTGGCTCCAGCCCTCTGGAACTCACATCTCACCAACACATTCCCTAGATGCCAGATATAGAACTACAGGACTTTCTGTTTGCCCTTCTGAGCTTCAGTCTTGCTTTAGTCCTATTCTTTTCTATCCCTTAGTCCCCGCTTTTAGAATGGGAATATTTACCCTGTGCCATTGTATAGTGGCTCTATGTAACTTTTTTTTTCCAGGAATTTAGAGCTAAGAGTTTACCTTGAGTGTCAGAAAGGATCTGGAATTTGCCTTGTGAGCAATGCTGAAATTGTTGAGACTTTGAAAGAAGGGATTACTGTATTTTTAGTTGTATATAAGATAGTTCTGGTAGGCAGAATTACTACTTGTTAATGTGTTTATTTGGGTATTAAATATGCTTTAAGGAGATTTCTTTGGGTGTTACATTTACAGGGGGTGTGATGTAACAGTTTAAGTTTAATTGTCAATTTGATTGGCTTGGGAGCCGTGTAAAGGACTAGTAGAGCACATTTATACATGTGTCTGGGTGGGTCTTGGAAGTGTGACCTTTGGTAATACACCTGGTCACTGGCCCCTCCCTCTCTGGCTCTGATCCTCTGCTCTGCTTCCCAGCCACCATGAACTGACTGACTGGCTTTGCTCTACCATGCTCTTCCACCATGATGCTTCTTCCTCGGAGCCAGCAGACCAAAAACTAAACCCTCTGAAACCATGAGCCGAATAAACCATTTCCTCCTTTAAGCTGTGTGTGGGTAGTATTTGGTTCCAACAACAACAAAACTGACTAAAGAGTGGAGATTAGCTCAGTGGCACCACACCTGTCTCACAAGCACAAGGTCGAGTTCAATCCCTGTTACGGGGTGCGGGGAGACACACTGTCTAACATAGTGGGGTATTATTATGTTTTATTTTCCAGAAAAGACAATGAATAGTAATTCTCAGCATATTTTCTCAAACTTTATCTCATGTTCCAAGGGAGAAAAAGTCAACTCACCTAGACTCTTGGAAATCTCAAGTCTATTTCTGCCCTGAATCCTTCCCTTATAGATACTTCAGTCTTTGCAAACACTTCCATGATACAGATAACCACTGCATTGAAATTATTTATGTACTTATCTCTCTCCTCTATTCATCTAAAACAAGTTATAAATCAAATGTCTGTAGGACTTAAGTAGGTAGCAAATGAATCATTTTGCTGCCAAATATATATTCTTCACTTCTACAAAGATATAATGCCACCCTTCCCTTCTTGACTCATATGATCTGCCTTTCTACTATCTTTCTTCTTTGAAGTCTTGATAGAATATAAAAGCAGAAAAATAACCTTCACTTTCCTCTTAACAAAAAAAGTTCAAGCTCAATAACAGATATAAGTGAAATAAAATTCAGTGTCAAAAATTATAAAAATGAAAGCATAACACACTAAGGGAATAACTGAGTATTACTCACCTCTAAGCTATGGTACCTATCTAAGACTGTTCTTTGGGAAGATTACTAGGTTTCTAGTTTTTTAAGAGGACCTAGAAAACTGGGTTTTAATATGAAATTTCTTAATTTTTAATTTTGAAAACTCATTCAGAAATCTTTAAAGAAACTATATAAATCAAAAAAGCAAATCAGCCCATGTATTTGTTCAGTCCAAAAAGACTATTATTTTCAACCTCTGGTTTAAGCTTTAAAACATCATCACTTTTATACTACAAGCCCCATGCTCATTACACCTAGAAATAAATCCATAATTTAGCTGAATTCTTAAAAAATATTGGCAAACAGATGGATTTTACAACCCAACTAAGAATTATAGGTTTATTTGTATACAGACAATAATTTACCTACCTATAATACCAACAAAAATAATACAATTATATCTTTTCTAATTTTAATTATTTATAAATATAAATATTTAATGCCACTTCTATGAACTCATTTATTCATTTCTTTTTCCTCTTCTTAAGATGTCCTTAATTATACCACTCCCTCTCCATTTTAATTTAACTGTCTCTCCATTTTAATTTGTTTCTCTTTCTAGTAAAATAACCTCATGGATTGGTTCCCTTGTTTTGTGTTCATCTACTCTTTTTCACCATAAATCTCCGGTTTGAAAATCACACAACCAAGCTACACCAATCAAGAAGAAATTTCAAATTATTAATAACACTTTAATTTCTGATTAAGGAATAACCCAAAAATTATAGTGTACAAAAAATATTACACTGTTAGCAGAAACAAATTCCTAAAATTAAAATTATCGAGAAAATGATGAGGTGTGAACTATAAAGTATGATACATACCAAATGATACTGTCCAATGTTTTAGAGAACAATGTCAATGAGAAAAATAAAAACGTGTTAAGAGCTCAATTTAAACCATTCCTATAAAAAAAACCAAAAATTATAGTATAACAATGGCTTGTTGGTACTTTGAAAACTTAGCAGTTTACTTTTTGTCAGATCATTTTCTTTATTAGTACATGTTTGTAGTACATAATGTTTACATTCCCTGCGGGGAATGGGTACAGTCACATAATATATCTTAATTCCTTTTTTCTTCCCCTTTCCCTTCCCTCCCTCCCCGCTCCTCCACCTCTTAGATCCCCTTACTTTTGGGGAGGTATATATTTGTAGTACATGTTATAATTCTCGTGTGGGGTTGGTACATGTACATAACACACTTTAATTCCTTTATTCGTGCCCTTTCCTGCCCCTTCTTCTATTTATTTATTTGTACTAAAAATTCTACTTAATTCTATAGTAAAAAGGCACAATTTAATGAGATTTATGTTTACATTCTTATTTCATTAAATGAAAACAAACTGTTCAGTAAGAAGGTAAGAAATTCAAGTGTAAGATTCAAGACGGTTATGCAGGGTGCTAAATTTTTTTGAAATCATTGATAATGTTTTTAATTGATCCTTCTCATAAAGGAAACCACACAGCTATTTAAAGATTCTCAGGTACCACTTCCCAAGCAATGAAATAAATGTATATATAATAAAAAATGTATATATAATAAATGTATATATAATATGTATATATTATATAATATATAATATGCTTTGTTTGAATTTCTCACCTTTCCACTTATTGAACAATTTTTGTTTTCATTTAGTGAAATAGGAATGTAACATAAACCCATGTAACTTTATATATATAACCTTATATAATATAAAGTTAAGATATATTCATAAATATAGCTAAAAACACAAAATTATCTTAAATATATGTATGGTAAGTGGGAAAGCAAACTGTTATATTAAATATTCAACATTTATTTAAAACCTTCAACTTTAGCAAAAATATAAAGTGAAATAGTTGCTTAACATTAAAAGGGAGAAAAAAGGAAAAATTCAATGCCAGTTCCAAGGACAAGCTAAAGATGAAAAACATTTAAAAATCTCATTTTCATAGCATACCTGTGAGCATCAGTTGGAGACAGCACCAAAGTGTTATCTTCTCCAGGAGAAGGTTTCCATGATTCACTTAATTTGTGTTCACTTGTCTCCAGCTCACCCATTACCCAGTCAGGTAATCTCTCTGGACTTGAACGTTTTGTACATGCTGGACTTGGTTCATCAAAGTAGATGGACTGATTTTTAAAAATTGGAGAAATTATTCTTTCAAAATGTACTATAAACAAACACTCAAAATTTCCATAAAGTTACAAGTTTGACAACAGCACTTCAAGTACTCAGTTTAAATTACATACAAATATACAAAATACATCACTCAATGGAAAACAAATTATAAAATATTAAAATAATAAAATGGATAACATTTACATTTTAGTTATGCTCTACTAAGAATTCTGATAAACAAAATTACATAACAGATAAATTTGATAATTATTTTTATAACAAAAGTAATTAACGTTATGAACAGTTAAATGGAAAGTTTTTAAAAATTATATACTACCCTATTTCGTTCTGTGATCATTACCAACTTTGGATCACAACACACACATACAAACACACACACATAAATCAGTACAAAAACCACAATCAGTACAAGTCAGAAAGTAAAATTAGGTGGAAACAGTAGAGCAAGAGATCTGGGATTTAGCTCTTGCCATACTATTAACTGGGTGAAATACCCAAGACAGATCTCTAGGCTTTCTCATTATTATAATTATCATTATTATTAGTAGTAGTAGTAGTAGTAGTAGTAGTAAAATACAGTCCTCCCCTATGACTATAAAATTGAGTATGTTTTACTTAATCTTCTACATTAGCCCATTTAATGCGCCGGGGATTTGGCTCAGTGGTTCCACCACCTGCCTTGGAAGTGCAAGGACCTGAGCTCAATCCCTGGTACCCCGCCCTCCGAAAAAAGAAAGAAAAAATTAACACAAAGCACTTTGGGCCAGGGATTTAGCTCAGTGGTTCTACCGCCTGCCTTGCAAGTGCAGGGACTAGAGTTCAATCTCCAGTACCAAAAAACAAAACAAAAAAAGAAACATTAGCCCATTTATTTCTCTTCAAATTAGCCAGAATACATAACACAACTCTGAAGAAAACTACACTGACTGGACACTTGTATAACCATTCTCCCAAGCCTACAAAGAAAATTTCCAAGGGCTATTCTCTAGGGAGGGGTGATACATGACCCTCTATCCCAAATCAGAAATGCACAGCAATTTCTTTTTAAGTGAGATATAGTATCATCCATTACCCAGTTTCATTTTTCATGGTTTTAGTTATCTGCAGTCAAGTGTGGCCCCAAAATATTAAATAAATTAAATATTAAATAAAATTTAAATTAAAAATGAACAAGTTTTTAATTGCATTTTAATTGAGTAGTGACAAAATCATGTTCCAGCTATTCCAATATGGCCCACCAAATATATTCACACTCTTTATACTTCCTGCCCATTTGATACTTAGTAGCTGTCAGTTATTAGTACATGTAATATAAAAGATTTGTTAACATCTGATTTCAGGCATCCACTGAGGGGCAGGTCCTGGTTAAAGGGAAACTACTATAGTCATTGTAACATCTAATCAAACAGCAAGTTAAATAACTACCATATTACCCTAAATACTACTAATCTTAATTTAAGCAAAACGTATGGCTCTACATTAATATAAAATGCATAATAGCATTAAGACTTCTGGCATTGTACCATTAACAACAGGTATTATCCTCTGTCAGCATCCCATGTGACTGCATTTTGTTTTATGGTAAACTGATGAGATACAGAAAAATGTTGCAATATATCACTTGAGAATTTTGCAGTTCATAAGAAAATGCATATAACTACCTAATAGCAAATGCCAATATTTAGTTCTGCAGTCATATTTCTCAAATTCCATAAAAACCAAGGTACATTTCATGTTTATAAGGAACAGGACAGTGACAAACTATCAATCAAGTATATAATTGCCTTGCAGCAAAGCTGATTATAATAATGAAATTAAATGGAATATAGAAATTTTTTTTTTTTTGGTACCGGGGATTGAACTCTGCTTGCAAGGCAGGCCACCAAACCACTGAGCTAAATCCCCGGCCCTAGAAAATTACTTTTAAACTCTAAGTTACTATTGTCATTAGAGTAAAAGAAACTCATAACTCATTCGATGTAACCTCTCATAAATTATAAAATAATTCACATGAAACAGCTTAATAAACAAATTTATGATTCATAAAATGTTACTATTATAACTCAGTAAAATGAAATTAAAGCTCAAAATTGAAATTTTCTTTTTTTAGAAATAATACAGAATACAACTGAAGAAACCAATAAGGATATTCCTCCTCTAAGCTAATGCCTGTTTTCACTGAAAGTGGATAAACTGAATCAGAGAGAAAAAAAATAGTGTTAACAAATGTGTTATCTAACACATATAACTCAATAACATCGCCATTCCCTATAGGAATGATAAGTTAACTTCACCTGTAAAGAAATACTAATATACTTGCAGTCAATGATACCTACCATGTATGAAGGTAACGTTTTTAGTGTCCCTGGTTCAGGACGATGCATAAAAGGGCCTTCAAGCACTCCCCGCTTAAGCATATGCAGTAACAATTTCGCATACAGGTTCCGATTCTTCCTGCCCATTATTCCTGCACCTGTTCCTGAAGGCTCACACAGCTTTCTAATCCAAAGAGCACACCTTTGCCGTTCTGTAAATACATAAGAACTATTACAAATTTGATTTTTCAGAAAATAAAATATTTAAATACAAACACTTAATAACAGTATTTGCCTTAATACAGAACAAGGATGAGCAAATTTCTGTAAATATTCTAGGCTTTTCAGGCCATGTCATCTATGGTGCAACTACTCTACGACTGCACCATGAAAGCAGTTACTGACCATAAGTAAACAAATGGCATGGTTGTGTTCAAATAAAACTCCAGAAAAATAATTCTGGGCTGGAGTTGGCCCATGGGCCACAGACACGTAGTCTAGAATTTAATCTTAATAGTTAATTGGCAGTTGGGCAAGAGAAAGACCAAAAAATATATGTATTAACAAAAATAAAATTTTTGGATAACTATCAAATGAATCCGACATAAAATTTTGCTCTAATTTGCATCTGTACAGTAACTTAATATATATTTAAATATATTTCTATAGTTCTAACTATACAAGGACAGAAAGAGATAAAATGCAACCTTTGAATTACCAAATATTTTATACTTACTTCAAGATTAAGTTCAAGTATTTATTTATTTAAGTCAATAATTTCCAGGGATTTGTAGCTGATTTATTTAGGGCTTTCCTTTAACATTTCTAAAAATAATTCAGTACTATTTACATGTAATTTCATAAAATAATTATCCTTTTTAAAATCTACCTAAAAATATAGCACAGTTTAATCCACACATAAAAACTATATTATCTTGCAACGACACAGAATTATTTTAGGTCTCATGCTAACTATTTTGATATTTATTTTTTATCAATCTGAAGATTATATATCTAACATAAACTATAAGTCTACTTTAATCTCTTATAAAGGTCATATTCATTTATTGTTTTATCTATAAAAATCACTAAAGTTGGATTTACAACTTTGCAAATCTTACTCCATATATGAGAGATATGCCTCTAAAAACATTGGGAATTTTTGCTTTAAAACTTATATCATCATAAAACAAACTTCATTAAGTAGTGGATATACTTTTTTTTTTACAAAAAGAAAACACAAAAGTGAAACTAATGAACTCAAGTAAATAGTTTTTTTTTTTTTTCAAACTGGGCTTTCTACATGTCCTGTAGCAAACTGAAATCTAATATAATAATCTAATACCCAGAATTTAGAATCACTTGATTAATGAAAAGAATTCAATCCTGTACTTCAAATGATGAAAAAAAATTATCAAAAGTAGAATTTAGCTATCAAAACAGGTAATTTATGAATTTCTAGTTCTTGAGTGAGATAAGTTCCCATATGGTATGAGCCACAGTTTATAATAATCAATTGTACACATTTAAAATCTGTTTTTAAAGAAGATAACACATGAAGGTGGTTTGATTTGAAATATAATTATAACAGAAAATTTTAATACAAATGTTTCCTAATTAATAGATCTAAGACACAAAAAGAGTAGTGAAGGCCAGGTGTGGTAGGGCACGCCTGTAATCCCAGCACTTGCGAGGCTGAGGCAGGAGGATTGCTGTGAGTTCAAAACCAGGCTGGGCTACATAGTGAATTCCAGGTTAGTCTCAAGTACATATTAAAACCCTGCCTTAAAAAAAAAAAAAAAAAAAAAGTAGTGAATATCAGAAGAGGATCCAGCACTGTATAGAAATACCATTAACTATTAATTCAAATATTCATGCATGAGCCATGGGACAGTAAATGATCAGTTGAAGAATAGCAGAGAAAGAAAAGACTAAAGTCCAACATGGCAAAGAGAAAAATCAGAAAGAGTATTCAATAGAAGGTAAGGCCAAGCTAACTTGTAGTTGCAAGTTCTAGAACAATGAGTGACCACAGAATGCTCAATTCCTACGCCACATTCCCTTCTCCCAGTGTATCTCCTTTCTTCCCTGAAATAAATACCTAATATTAAGTCGGTTTTTTTCTGTAGAGTCCACTCAGATATCTCAGAGAAACAGAGAACTTGGAAAAGGTAAAAAAAAAAAAAATCATAAATTTTTGGCTCCATTCCAAACACTCTACTCAGTAACCAAGCCATATCAACCTAATATAGTCAGCCATTTACCCCATATACCTACTACAACTTAGAGAATCTCTAAGCCATACACCCCATATACCTATTACAACTTAGAGAATCTCCCTGACCCCCCAAATTCTAATTTCTCTCTGATGCCTTAAAGTATCAAAAAATTTTCCACCTTAAGACAGAGATTCTCATTCCAACATTAGAACTAATAGGTCAAGGACCTAGAGATGCAATAAAAACAAAAAATTCATTCCTGTTTGAAGTTATTCAACCACTAATCATAAACAACGAACAGATTTTTTTTCGGCTTTGATAAAAAGCTCAGAGTATATGTAAACAGTAGTCTCCTGAAACAGAAGACATTTCCACAGAAAGAAGGAAAAAGGTGGTATCTAACTTTAAAGGCGGGCAGGTCTATGTGCTATAAACTCCTGGCATTTGAGAGGTGGTACCACAATAAGATCTTTCCACTGCTTAGAGGGCTTATGCCACTAAATTTTTATTTTCCCTCGAGAAACTCAAAGAATCCTATGTCAATGGAAAAAAACACTACTAAAGGATATCAGCTTTCTTTTCATTTTGACAGTTTACTGGACTAAAGAGTATTTTTAAAATAGTAACCTTAAGAACCTAGTTTTCAAGTACAATCTTACCTGACCTATGGGATAATTTTAGAACAAAGGGCTTCATATCTACCACAAAGTGATCAAATTCTACATCCAGCTTTTCCCATTTTTCTTCTTCACTCTCCATTTCCAATCTATAAAAGATACAAAATTAAATATGAAGAATCCGTTATGAGGAAAATTACAAAACTCTAATGAAAGAGATCAAAGAAATCACATCAATTAAATATCAATTCTCCCCAACTGACCTCTAATTCAATGCATTCTAATTAAAATCCAGAAGTATCCTTTGAAGGATGATTCTAAAATTTATTTAGAAAAGTAAAGGAACCAGAGTAACTGAAAAAAATTAAAAACAATAAATTTAGAGGATTCAAAGTATCTGATATTAAGATGCACTATAAAGATACAGAAATCAAGACAATGTAGTTTTTTGATGAAAAGATAGATACAAAGATCAATGGAGCACACATAGAGTCCAAAAATGGACCAATACATAAACATCTGATTCTCAATGAAGGTATAATTCATGGAGAAATGACTATTTTTACAGCATATGCAACACATACAAAATAAACTAATCCTCAACCTAAACTTCATACTATATATAAACATTCCAAGTGAATGGTGGGCCAAGTGAAAATTAAAACAATAAAAATTTTCTGAAGAAAATACAGGAAAAAATATTTATGCTTTATAATCTTGATTAAGGAAAAAATGTATGCAACACTAAAAGCACTACCCATAAAAGAAAAAAATGATGTACAGCATCAGACTTTACCCAAAAGGAAAAAGCTATTTTCATCTGCTGAAATGGACTCTGTTAAAGGATTGAGAAGATAAAAACAACAGGCCAGGGCAAAATATTTGCAAGTTTTACATCTCATGAACTTACATTCTTCCCTTTCCCACCCCTCTCCCTACTTCCTCTTCCCTTCTGGACAATTTTTTCCTATTTTATATTATATATTATACATTTTGGACCTCATTTACTCTTGCAGTTTTTCTCACATCAGAGAAACTATTTGGTATTTACATGTGTGTCCTATTTATTTCAATTAAGAGAATGGCCTTAATGTACATTCATTATAAATGACTCTAGTTTATCATTCTTTATGGCCAAGTAGCACTCCATTTTATTCACACATACACACACACACACACACACACACACACACACACGTGCGAACATACATCTTTATCCAGTCACCAGTTGATGTGCATTTGGGCTGTTTCCAAGATTTAAGGGTGGGGGGAAAGGAAATAAGGGAAGAAAAAAATATGAAAAAAGAAGGAAAAAATGGAAACAAAGATTTTTGTAGATAGGGTGGATGCAAGGGTGGAAGAACAGAAGAGGAATGGGGACAAAACAAGAACCAAAATGTAACATGTACAGGTACAAATTCTCAATGATGAATGTGATCATTATGTATACCTAAAATGTACCAATAAACTTAATGGAATAAAAAATAACTTACATCAAAAAATATGAAAAACTCTTAAAATTTAACCACAAGAAAACAAACAACTCAATAAAAATAAGTTTCAAAAATTTTTATGCCTGGTAGACAATTGTTTCAACATAGCTAAAAGATAATTTTGAATGTTCCCAATACAAAGAAGAGATAAATGTCCCAGTTGACAGACATAGCAATTATCCTGATCTGATCATTACATATTATACACATTTTTGAAATGCCACACCACATCCCATAAATATGTACTTTTACTAGGCATCAATTAAAATTTTTTTAATTTAAAAAATCAATTCCTGTACTAAAGAATACAAATAGTGGCAAATAAGCACAAAGAAATGCTCAATATCATTAAACACCATGAAAATATAAATGAAAACCATAATGAAATACCACTACAATACAGTATTACTAAAAGTTAGGAATGAAAACAACACCAATATTGGTGAGGACATGGAACAAAAGAAACACTCGTACCGTGCAGGTAGGAATGTAAAATGAAACAGCCTCTCTGGAAAATACCAAATTTCTTATGTTAAAATACATCCAATTCCACTGACTTTTACTGGAATATTCGGGGTCTTTAAATCTTCTTCAGTTCTGATAATTTATATGTAGTGTGTAGGAATTCATCTATTTCTTCTGGATTCTCCAACTTACTGGAGTAAGTCAAATGAGTTGCTAATAATCTTCTGGACTTCAGCAGTGTTCACTGTGATTTGTCCTTTTTCATTTCTAAGTGCATTGTTCTGAATCTTTACTATTTTTTTGTCTATTTGGATTATTCTTTGAAAAAAAACAGCTGCTTGATTCAATTGATTCTATGGTTTTTTAGTTTCAATTTCATTAATTTCTACTCTGATCTTTATAATTTCCCCCCTTGTACTAACTTTGGATTAGAAACCCAAAATAAAAGATAGATAATAAGAAATAGGGAGATAGGTCTTTTGCAAAAGGGAAAGGGACCAGGTTGGGGATGTAGCTCAGTGGCGCAGCACCTGCCTAGCAAGCTTGAAGACCTAAAAACAGGGGTGGGGGAGGTACCAGCAGATGAAGGGGAGAAAAACAGAAGGGGAAGGGGAAAAAAAGAGTTAAGATGTGTTATGTACATGTACCAACTCTCAACAAGAAATGTAATAATTATGTACTGCAAACAGGTACCAATAAAAATAAAAATGTAATAAAAAATATATTTACATTCTACATGTTCTTTTAAACTGTGAAAAATTTTTGTAAGGATGTACACTACCTCTACATGATACATAATGCCTCACTTGTCGCATTTTTCAATTTACAAATTACATATTTGGGAGAAAGCTCTCTCGACGTCATAAGCCATCTTGTTCCACAGACTTCCCTCTATTTAAAACCAGCTTCTAATACTCACCACAGTATCTGCCATTTTATTATCAACAACCTCTTCCAGGAACATCTCTCCATCTTGTCCCTATAAGTAAACCCTAGCTTTTACTGGCTGACTTTACTTCCCTCACAGCCATGAGAGTGAATGAGGCTTCTCATTCTCATAACATGCACTCCATGTAGTCTTTCATTTCTTCCATCCAGCCTTGCCCAGGAAAGAAAGCACTTACCTCCTTCACTCCTGAATCAAAAGCAGCAGCAATTCTAAGGACAGTACCTCCTCCTAACATCTATCAATTATCAATGACTTGCTCCCTGTATGAAATACTACACAGCCACTGACCCCTTTCCCTGTGATACCAGCCCTCATTCAAGACTTTCATTCACCAGTCCACTCAATTTCTACACTTACAAACTTCAATCCAGATCTCATTCCTGTGAATTATCTTTTCCATCTCTGACATGCTACCCAAAATCTTCTTTCAAAATTCACCAATGACCCACTAATTGCTAAATCCAAACAAAGGATTATCTTCAGCTTGCACCCTACCTGACATCTCCTCAGCCATCTCATACTTCTTATGACTTAACTACTCCTAGAAACTTTTCTTTGACTTCAGTAGTTCCATTCACTCCAGGATCCCCTGCTGCCTCACAGATCCTTCCTTCTTGGTTTCTTAACGTCTCTTGCTTATCTACTAAATATTAAATCAGAATTCTCTACTGCTTTCTCTTTAGTCTCCTTTTAATCTGACTTTTCACATCCTCCCTGGACAATCACATTCAGTAGGAAAACTTCCAGTATGGTCCTCATGCCATTTACCCTTAAATTTTACTTCTAACTCCTCTCTCCTTCCCTCCCTCTCTCTCGCTGCAACTCCAGGCTCCCACTTAGAACAGCCATCTAGACCTATTCAGTAATGCCCTGCTTGTTACCTAGTTTTACATGTTTCAAGGAAAATTCTTCATGATTTTCCCCATATACCTATTCTATACATGATATACTGTGCTTGAAAACATCAACTGTTCATTCCCCACACTAGAAGTTTCAATATTCTTATTCTTTAAATTCCTATAAGCTAATACATTAAGAAGTACTCAGAAATGTCTCTAATACACCAGCTTCTCCAGTCTCAATACCACTATCTCAGATAAAACCCTGCCAACCACTTACTCACACAACTGCAACAGAGCATGACCTTCTCCCAATGGTCCTTTTCTCTACTTGAGACAAGAGCTAAGTCTATCAGTCATTTTTAAAAAATCTCTCTTAACTGCCTACTACAAGATGCTACCCAAACCAAAAAGTTGAACATCCAAGAGATTTTGCATTTAAGCCTACCTCTTACCACATACACTTTACCTAACTACACCAACCCACTAATGGCCACTTCACTCTGTCACAATGAACCTCTCATGTTTCTTTAAATACTCCAAGCCTTTTTCTGATTCCACTCCCTTTGAACAGGCTGTTCCCTCTGCCTGAAGTTAGGTAAATGCAGCTCAGAAGTGTCACTTCTCAGCGAAACTGGCCCAACTGACTGTCACTGGATTTCAGTAAACTGCTCACTTTTGTGTGGCAGCATTTATCATGCTGTTATTTTTTGTACACATATGTATACTATTTACCTGTCTTCTACCTTTTGAGAGATACTCCTCTCTCAGGGCAGGGATCAAAATTTACACATCTTAGTAGGTGCTTAACATACTATGTTCTTCATATTAGGAGAGGAGGAATTTATTGCAAAGTAAAATTAATATTTCATTTTTACAAGACTAATTATTTTAATGCTCTGTTCTGAATAAAAAATAGGTCTTCCAGAATAAGAATAGTATATGCCCCTAATTTCATTTCCCAAAATTGGCCATCCTATCTTCTGTATTGCAGTAGAAGAAATATAACTTCAAATTCAAGAACTGGTTAAAATAAATTGTATTTAGGACTAGGGATGTAGTTTGGTGGTAGAATGCTTGCCTAGTACATACAAGGACCTGAGTTCACTCCTCAGTACCACAAAAATAACTATATAAAAAAATAAGTTTGCTGATTACTTTATTGGTTTTGTGTGTGTGTGTGTGTGTGTGTGTATGTGTGTGTGTGTGTGTGTTTGGCCAGTTGGTTTCCCTTTATATTCTTATATTCCATCATTTTATGAGCTATGTTCTTGGTGAAAGGCAACCACTACAGATAATACCACTGGATGTTAGATCATAAAGATAAGAAGCAACTCTTCAAATAAGCAAATCCAGCATTTTAAGCACAGCTCTGGAAGATGTACTTCCAAGCATCACCAGTGCATCCTGCCCATGTAAACAAACATTTGCCTAAGAGTATCATGAGCTATGTAAGTATGCTTGCATGCTACGCAAGTGCTGTACCACTGAGCTACATCCCCAGCCTCTTTTTTACTTTTACTTCCTAATCACTAATTCTGAATAAATCCTTTGACACCAGCTGGAAATGTTAGCAGTTAATATTAAAAGAAACTAAAACTCAACAGTTAAATAACAGAAAATTATAAAATTAAGCACCAAACTCAGACTGAAATACCGAGAGCTCTTGCTCTTAGATCCATATCCAACCACTTAGCCAAAAGTCAGGAACATCTCCAAATAATTAAAAAATACTTTAAAAAGTAGAAAGGCAATCTGAATTGCTATAATGACATGAAATACTGGAGTACCCATTTTTGTAAAAACAAGATAAAAAGTCAGAATGTTATTCAATAAAAGCTAAAATCTGCTTCTTTTTATCCCTATTCATTCTCCAACAAAACAAATGGGGAAAGCAACAGAAAAATTAAGGTAATGTTTTAAGCCTTCAAAAAATCCCTGCAACACAAATTACACCTTACACACAAATTATATTCAACTAATCAAAAAGCTGGATTTTATCACAATTGCAGATTTAAACTAATTCTTAAAAAGTAAGCAAAATTACATCTTTGTATCTCAACTAGCAATATAAATTATAGTGTGGCCACTAATTATATAAATTTCTTCAAAAGTAAAAGAGTCTGGGGATGTAGCTCAGTGATGTAGCACTTGCACAGCATGTGTGAAGCCCTGAGCTTAATCGTCAGTACAGAAAAAAAAAATGTATATAAAAAAAGCAAATTGGGTGGGTCTTGTTCATATCTATAACCTGTTCTTTCTTGGATCGTGTTTTTTATTAGATTCTTTGGTATGGTTTTTTAAAAACCTGTTTCTTTATGGACAGTTATAAAATGGGATAAAACCTTTTCAAGGTGCTTTCCTATAAGAGACAGCAAACACAAGCCAGTCCCAAATATTAAAAGGCCTTGAAAAAAAAAGTTGCCACAACAGCTAAGCCAAGAATACCTTTCAATGGGTCGGAGGTTTAGCTCAGTGGCGCCAGCGCCTGCTTGGCAAGTGCAAGGTCGTTGAGTTCCGGTCCCTGGTTCCGCCAAAAACAACAAAAAAAGATACCCCTTGTCAAATACACAAAAAAACGTGTTTCTAAATACTGTGTAAGAACCATTTTGCTCCATTAAATCATAAAGAAAACTGAAATATCAAAAAATCCAAGAAGAGGGGCCAGGGGTTTAGCTCAGTGGTTCCGTCACCTGCCTCGCAAGGGCAAGGACCTGAGTTCGATCCCCGGTACCCAAAACAAACAAACAAAAAAATCCAAAAAGTACACAGGTACATATGTTCTCTGGCTTACAAGTGAGAATGTTTTGACACAAGCCTTCCTTAATTTTCACCACAGCTGTGCGCTTTGGGGAAGTATCCTGCACATCCTACCGGATAGCCACTATTTCCACTGTCACTTCACCAATGGGGAAGCTGAGACTTAGCGGGAATAAAGAAACTGATCCAGGTGTCCCGCGGGAAGTCTGCTGGACCCAAGCGATGTGCACGAATCAGCCTGGAGCCTGAACTGTGGAGAAGCCTGTGGCTTTTCACATGACTTTTCTTACTTCACTCACAAATAGAAACGTCAAATAAAAAATAAAAAGTGCCGCGCAGTGATGAGAGTAAGAGATGTTCAAATTTACAGATGTTATCCTGAATAGCTAAAAACAATAAAACTAACTCAGAAACACTGCGTGTCTTCCAACAGGCCGCGAATCTGGGATGGGGACTTTGCAAGTGCGCTGCTCATTAGGACAGTTATGCCAAAAGGCAGTCTAACCCACTGACCGATGAGAGGGTGTGGAAATCCAGAGGCCCCTCGGGCCGTCACCTCCCCCGACTCCCGGACAGCAGCAGGGGCGGCGGCCAAGGCCGGGGTGGCCCGTTCTCCTGCCCTGTCCTGGGCACAGCTTTCTCCACACGCAAGCCCCGGGGTCAGACGTCTGGCCCACGTCAGGACGACCATTCCCGCGGCCCCTGAAACTTTCCTCAGAACTTTCC